TTCGGTTCCAATTTGTTGTGCTCTTTATCATGTTGTTTATCACTTGATTGGTCACGTGGTCAGAAACTTGTATGCATAATTTTATAAAATTGTCGAATCTAAAAAATCTTTCTCATTATTCGCGTCATGGTTCATGCCTATATTGGTATCGGCAGTCACTTTTAAACAAGGAAGAAAATATCGGTAATATCGGAAATATCGGTAGTCCGAAAACACGAAAATATCGGGATAATATCGATATCGATAAAAATTACATGGAAACCACGGAAATTGTAAGAAAAACTTGGAAATTTTAATGAAACTTTGCAGGATGTTTATTTAGTCAATTATCTATTAGTTTATCACAAAAAATTGGAAGGAAATGCATTGCATGATGGATTTAACTGATTTAAGTTGATTATATAGCGAGTTGGCAAATTTTTCACTCTTTCCCTAAAATTATATATTTTCACTTTTTCCCTGAAATTGAGTCATTTATCCTAATCTAATATGGACCCCAGATTAATTTATATTTTCACTCTTTCCCTGAAATTATATAAATTGTGCAATTGGGTCATTTATCCTAATCTAATATGGACCTTTCATCTTGATTCTCATTCTCTGTCACGCTGCCATGTGGTAGACCACTAACCATCACCCTATCTCTCTCTCTCTTTTCCCGGGTTCCTCTCGGACCCTTCACTCTCTCTCAGTTCTCAACTCTATCTCTCTCTCGAACTCTCGTTCTCTCACCCCATTTTCTCCGGCGCCGACTCTGGCTTCAACTGGAGTCGGTCGCCCTTTCCCCCTTCCTCCTCCTGTTTTTCTCTTGTTTTTCCCTTCTCGGTCTGTTCCTTTGTCTTTTCTTCTTTCTCTTCTTCTTCTGTTTTTCTTTTTGCTTTCTCCTCTGTTTTTTCTTTTCCCCCCTGCGTCCTTTCCCGATCCGGCCATGTCCTCCTACCCACCCCCAGCGGCGATCATCCTCCTTCATCTTTCAGATCCGGCATGCAGCTGCTTTCAAACCGCGTTTTGCTGCGGTATTTCGAGAGGGTGCGTTGAGATCCGATGTTCTTACCGGCTCGGGTGCTCCGCACCACCACCCTTTCAATGTCTCTCATCGTCGTCGGTTTCGGGATTCGGAGTTCTGGGTATGTTTCTTAATGGGTGGAGATCCCGAGTTGCCGCTGATCCGCAATTCCCCTTCAAGGTTCTGATGGAGGAGGTCTTTTACAGTCGGCCGGAGCTGTAGAAGCTCCGGCGTTTTTCTCCGATTAGCACAGTGCCAAAATATCGATATTATAAAAAATATCGCGATATTATCGATAATATTGCGATATTTTGACGAAAATCATTTGGATAGTTAAAAAAATATCGGAGAAAAAAAAAACGATAATATCGGCGAAATATCGGCGATATTATCGATTTTTTCTTCCTTGCTTTTAAACAAGTTATTTCAAAACATATTAAACTGTTATTTATAAAAGACTGATTTGATGAAAGAAGACAAAGTGCCATGCTAAGGTCAAGAAATTCAACTACTAGAGGTTGAGTTGAGACCTAAGGAGTCATTTTTCAGTGTCCGCTGTCAAGTACATAAAGTGTAATACTACAATTTGTTAGAAAATTAAAAATAAAAATATTAACCAAATATGCACGTTAATTGACATTTAATTAATATTTCAATCATCTACAACCACATCATTAGGTTTGCAAATTTTGTTTAAAAATTCTAGTTTACCTAGTATTACCCATTATATTATTACACTTAACCTTTAATTCAGCACTTAATATACTTGACCATGTTCTCGATAGACATTGCCGCCGGGCAATAAAACCACCTTCTTTATGGCAAGGATGAATTTCTTTGAACTGGTGCATATAAATGGCATTGGCACATAGTTTTACATCCCTCACCATATCTCATAAATACCGCATTTAATTTTCTGCTTGCTCTTGCATTACAAAACAAGCCACTTCATTACACTTCAAACCCTACCCGACTTCCCCCCTCCTCTTCATTCTTCCACTATCAAAAACCAAAATTTGAATAAATTAACTCAACCTGCATATGAGTTACAGGACTTTTCTTTTTATTTTTTATTTATTTTTATATATCATCTACCCAACCTTGGTGGATGGAGAACCCTACTGACCCAAGGGCTTAGGAGCACACTTTGTGTGATTTCACCCAAGGTGAATAGACTAAGACCACCGTAACCTCACTTGGTTAGGCTTCATGTAGGCAACCAATCACTCTAATGTTTTGCTAAGTTACAAGCCCACGCTACTAGGCTCGGCATATGAGTTACAGGACTAGGTTAGCGCCTTTTGTATTTTGGTTTTTTTAGATGACAAATTTGATATTAAATTATTGTTGACTCATTATCTGAATTAATTGAAACTTTCATTGATTAAGATATAGCGTGCCCATCCTCACAATTCGAGTTTGAATTTCCTATTGTATCCGGATGACCGGATCATATGGTTGTCAAGCACTAGGTACAAAAACAATCCACCCAACTTCACCCGCTGTATGTTGACCTCACCACCCGAGGCTAGAAAGCAGATGGTTATTTACCGCAGTGGCGCAAAGTAATAACATGTTCGATTTCCAAGGATTCCCTTTGTCCTAACATTTAACAATTTAACCCGTTTGTCCAAAAAAAAAAAAACTTAAGACTAAAGAAGCGGCCCATTGGTCAGAGAGGAAAAAGAAAAGCAGGCCCATGTTTATCTAGCCCAACCCTTATCTCTTGCTTGTTGCTACCAAAACCAACGGCCACCCACAGAGACAACCGCCTTACTCCGCCCCAGCAACAAAGATTGAAAGCGCCGATCTTCCCGTGCCAAACTCAGGGAGTCAGGTAAACAAAATTTTTTTCAAATTTTGTATGGTTTACGAGAAAATTTTATGGTTTTCCCCTTTAACTCTAAATACCCAATTTTTTGAGGTAAAAAAGGAAGAAAATTGCCTAGTAATCGTCGGGATCTTGCCCAATAGCAATCGTCAGGGACCTGTTAGATAAGCTTTTCTTAATTTCCTAATCTTAATGTTATTAAAACTGTCAATGATTCATAAATTGGGTGCTTCAGTTCTTTGTTTGATGATTATAAAGTTTATAGTTAATTACGCATCATTGGTTGCAATAATCAGTAATTTGCCCAGAAACTATTTGTGAAAATGTTTCAAAGGCAATGCTTGTATTTATTTTTTTTATCGTGTAAAGGTTAAATTGTTGCGGAAATTTGCATGTAATGATTAGGATTGCAAGAAAACCGGTGAGTTACCATGTTAGGAAGTGCGCGTGTTCGGCTGAACCGGTGGCAGCAGGCGGCTGTGGCGGTCGGTTCGGCTGTGGGCGCATTGCTGGACCCAAGAAGAGCTGATCTCATAGCAGCTCTTGGAGAGACAACTGGGAAACCTGCATTTGAAAGAGTTCTTGAAAGAATGACGAGGAGCCCTGAAGGCAGGGTAGGCCTCTTCTGTCCTCACCCTTCTTGTTTAGTGATTACAATTCTTAATCAAATAACATGTTATGCGTTTAAGTAGTTGTTCGCCAAAAAAACTTTCTCGTAATTATGCACGGAGTTTCTGCTTAAGCTATCTGAGTTATGTTTTGTTAATGAAGGTGTTGGGAGTTTCGGGTTATTTGAGTCCATAGCATGTTCTTTGAAAGTCTGCTTGAGGGAAGTCATATGAACTGAACATTTTTTCTGTTAACAGCGGCAAGGGAATCGTGAAAATTGCTACCTGGGTTATATCCATTCTGGTCAATTGAAGTCATATATCAGTCTTTCGTGTAAAATTGGCTAAATATTGTTCTTGTTGTTGTCGAGTATTGAGTGCTGCTGCTCTTAGTTTAGATAGGTGATAGCTAATGCAAACTGAAGTCATATATTCTTCTTCCACTGCAGTAAATAATTGGTGTTCTTTTATAGTGTTACTTATAATGTGCTTCTAATTGAACTATTCTTCTCATGTAAACTGTTTTGCGTTGTTTTTGCCACCCGTATAACGAACTAAGAATGGCTATTGCTCGAGATATCTAAATTTTATGGAATCAGTACTTGAAAGCCATTTGGTTGCTGGTATGCAATGAAATCCTATTTTGTCAACGGTTTTGCTTTGTTATTCTAAGACCAATGCATTTCTTTCTTTACCAGGCCATACTGTTGGAGAAACCCCGTGTAATATCTGTAAACGTGGGTCATGCATGGGATCTACCAGCGAACACATTTGGTGCTGCCTATGCAAAGTTCATGGGATCTAGGAACTTCTCGCCAGATGATCGACCACCAGTGCGGTTCATGGAGACAGATGAGCTTGCATATGTGGCCATGAGGGCTCGCGAGGTGCATGACTTTTGGCACACCCTTTTTGGCCTTCCAACGAACTTGATGGGGGAGTCGGCCCTCAAGGTAATAGAGTTTGAGCAAATGTACCTTCCCATGTGCCTGATGTCCGTCATAGGGGGCTCAGTGAGATTCAACGAGAAGCAAAGGAAATTGTTCTTTCAACACTACTTCCCTTGGGCCATCCAAGCTGGAATGCAGTGCACGGATCTCATGTGCGTGTATTACGAGCGGCACTTTCACGAGGATTTGGAGGACGTTCGGAGAAAGTGGGGTATAATTCCTGCCCCTGCTCCTCCTAAACAAGCCTGACCATCAGCAGCCTCAGCTTGTTTGGCGGAGAGACTGTAAATTTCTCGAGCACAATGTACCCATTAACTTGTGTTTTTCTTGTCAACCCAAATAAGTTTTTGTTTGCACACGTTAATAGTTACAGGTCGATTTCAATTTACCTTCACAAATTGAATCTTCGTGTGCACAATATGTTAACGTATCAACACCTCCGTTTTCCTCTTAAGTTAGGCGTTCTCTTCGGAAAAATGCAACCGAGATACGTAAATACAAACTCCGTAGGCGTGTCCCCGGCCAGTGACGGCGTTTCCAATCATAATCCGACATAGAAAACAACAGAAATGACCATGTAAAGATGGAGAAGAGAAATTAATCACTGAGAAAATAACGAGAAACACGAAATATGCACTAGGAAATGTTTGGTTTGTCCATGAAAACGAAATCTGTATCAGATGGTTTATCCATCTAAAATAGATCATTCTTGGCTGAATGATCCCAACAACCACAAGACCTATATTACATCACAGAATCCATAGAGACTTCCATTGTTTATATAACGGATCAACGAAACGAAGGGCATGTCTGTCTCAGTTACCACCCGGTCCACCAAAGAGGTAACCCAAAGAAGATCCACCGCCCGGGGCAGCATGGACCTTGGTCGAGGGTCGATCCTGCACGCAGGGAGAATCAATATGAACATCAAAATAACACAAATTGTGCATAAAATAGAACGAAAACACTATATCAAACAATGAAGAAGGATAAGCCAATTCCAGCAGCTATATAAACCGTTTCAGTGAACAAATTATAAACACCAAGATATTTGGATAATAATTAAAAAGATAATGAAATATCGGAAGATTCATTGGGGTGTAACCATGTAAGTAAACTAGGTTTTGTCTAACCCCCAAACAATGAGGAGAATCATACCGTTATGAAGTTTCCGGTGTTCTGGCCATCTGCACGCATGTAGTTGTTTGTAGAGGTGCTATGGATACCAGCAGGAATCGCCTTGGTGATATCAACTGGTTCAGGAGCAGGAGCAGGAGCAACAGGCTTGGAAGCAGGCTCATCTGGAACTGGCGCAGCTTGAGCATTGTTGGCAGCCGGTTTTGGAGCCTCTCCACTCCCAAAAAGATAGTTCAAAGAACTCTGTCCCCCACCGCTGCTAACTCCACGACCCATGTTCTGTAACTTCTTCACAGATAACCCTACACCCTTACATTACAAACAGATGTTTAGAGTGGAATTCTGGAATAAAGAACAAAATTGCAAGAAACTATACCAATGATTCCTAATTGACGCCTCAACCAGTAAAGAATATACCTACAGGAACAATTATCACAATAACTCTGTCACTACTTGACTCAGTGTCACGAAATACTTTGAAATCAAAACACCATAACATGATCTAAACCATTGATCCATTTTATAAATCGAACCACTCACAAGAAACCCGAACGAGAAGGAAAAAACAAAAATCTTAAGAGTCTGCACCATGAACTTCAAGGTTGGAATCTGCCTTCGTCACAAAAAGGGTCAACTTTTCGATGTTTGATATACCAAACAAATTCAATTTCTACTTATTTTGGAATGATTTCTTCACAATTTTTAAAACCCAATTGATCGGTTCAGCTAAATTACACAAACAGAAGTTCAATTTAGCAAAATGCAGGCTCACACGCAGACACTTTGTCGGTATAAAAAATCGAAAACAGACAGATCCACGATCAACAGTTCATCCTAGAAACCTCAAAAATCAGAAGCAAAAGAAACGTCTCAGTCAAACACTACCACGAATCAAAACATACATCTATAGATCTACCAAATGAAATGCACCCCAAAAATCCACCGATTAAATATCAAAATTATCCACTAGGAAAAGCATCAAATCAAGCACAGTAAAATTGGGTTCTAAAAAAGCGAGAAATTGAAAGCGAAACGCAGCGATTGAATCGTGTAAGTCAAAATCCGAGAAGGGAGGCAGAGATCTAGGGTTAGAGAGAGGGGCGCGTAGGGTACCTGGTTGTTGGGATCAGATCTGGAAGGGAGAGCTGTGGAAGCAGAGAGTGTTGAGCTACTGGAGACACACAGAAACTGCACGCCACTTCTAGGTGTTATATAAACATATCAGTGCAGATACGCTGTCACTGTTTTCCAATTTTTATTTTATTATTTTTTGAATTATCCAGATTTTATTTATTAAATATTTCAATTTTCACAAATTTAAACCCTACCCCAAAAAAATAAATAGGTCAATATTTGGTGGAAATTTGCAATATTAATCTTACTGAAATTGAATCGACCATCTTGGTTCTCTAATTCTTTACTTTTTCAGAATTTTTATTTTCTTTTTATAAAACAAATGCTGCATATGCGAAAAATGATAATTAAACAATGAGATTTATTGTTAGATGAAAATTTAAATATGAATCGTTGATCATATATTTAAATGAAATTATATTTTTTACCGCTTCGTTTGATTGTGACACAGAACTTTAGGTCATCACCAACCGAACAAGGGTCAAAGGGCTCCAAAGAGTCATAGGCCAAACATAGCTATTTGACAAAAATCATCTCAATGACATCACCCAAGGCTATGAAGTTGAAACCAGAGTACATTAACTCCAACAAGAATAAGTTCTAACTGAAACCCTTGGGTGTACATGACCACCCAACGACAACCAATGCTCTTATTGAGTGAAAGAGAAAACAGAAAAAGACGACCAAGCAAAAGCAGAAACTCAAATGTACTAGTCGGCTCCATGTGTGCTAGTACCATAAATTTCAAAACAAGATTATCAAAACCCAGAAGAAAATTAAATCACTTGCACCCTAATCGTGCACACACTTGCACCCTAATCGTGCACACAACGTAATGAAAATTAAATCACTTGCACTCTAATCATGCACACAACTTAAGATACGAAAATAAATTAAATCACTTACCTATTCAATGGATACAAAACATTAAGAAAAAAAAAGGGCAGTAAAGTCCGAAACATTAAGAGAGAGAAAAAAAAACGGCGGTAAAGTAAAGGATTATTTGGACAGCTTTAAAACAGCATTGTTGCAATTGTCATAATTCATAAAAGTCGATATTAGCATGTGGCTAAATGAGGAATAACAGACTTGATACCAGGACAAATAAAAGGAAACCGAATGCAATAACCAATTTAGGTAGACGTTTAGAAGCATCTGAAGGCAGACCCACCTCGATCAGCCATCCAAGGAGGTGGCATTTTTCAGTTCGTTAAAGCAGAAATTTTTCAAATTAGAGGACTGCAGGATCTCGCCCTCTATCCAAGGAGTTGAAACGCACTGAGACAGACGACACCCTTGCTATCTGAATGTAATCCTACACATTTCAAATACCATATAACTAGTAAATAATGCTCAACATTCAGTCATCATATAAAGTTCTAAAAATAATCTATAACATCACAATAAAAAATAGTAAGGCCAAGTTAGTTGTTTCTGTATACAGTACAGAAACTAAAACCTCAATTTTGCCATAGATTGATTTTGAACAACAAAATGGTTAGCTTTTGATGATGCCACAACTTATGAAGTACAGTGGTAATCTAACATGGTGTTTGAGGTTCGGTTCCAATCAGTGGCGGAGCCAGGAATCTTACCACAAGGGGTCTTAGTGTAAGTCCAAATAAAAATTTAGGATGGAAAAACATATTGAAAATGAAATCATAGTACTTTCTTTCATAATTCATAATGTAAACAATATTACAAGCTATAATTGTCCATGACGAGGTTTCATATTTTGAAAACGAAGCATTATAGCTTCATTTTCAATACAAGCAAAAATATCTCTCTCAATATAAACAAGCAAGCTATCACTCAACCATTGATCTCCCATTTTGTTCCTAAGTGGACCCTTAACAATATTCATGACAGAAAATGCTCTCTCCACTGAAGCAGTTGCAACTGGTAAAACTAAAAAACAATGTAATGAGCAAAATATACATAATTGAATACTTGATGCATCCTTGTCTCCACCATTTTTTTTTGCAAGATCACCAATCCCTTCCAATTGAGAGAAATCACTACTGGAACGCACATAATAAATATAAATCTCAAGTTGATCTTCAAGTGTCAAACGATCCTCATCATCCGAAAAGTCTTGAGGATAAAATTGAGCAAGACGAAGTAACTTTGGTTTATCAAAAAGCTACAAATGAATCTTTCGGACTCAAACATGTCAAACAAATAAGCAACTCAGTATTTACCTCATTAAAGCGATCCTCTAACTCTGTAATTTGCTCATCAATGACATAAATAAAGAGCTCCACACGATAATGATGACGATTTGTTCTTATTGGAGCATTACGCCTTGACCTCCCTGGAAGTATAAATGCCTCTTCCACGTTAGGAACATCAATATGATGTTTTTCACAAAAAGAAGATACTTCATCAACTAATGCATCGAACCCATTATTCCTCATCCAATGTAGCTTTTCCCTACATGATTTCACTAAAGCCATTGCATTCACAATTTCTTGATCTTTCCTTTGCAATGCTTGTGACAAATCATTTGTGAATCCCAATATGACTTTCATCAAGAAAAGGTGAAATATAAACTCAAAAGTACGTATTTCTCTCATTAACTTATTTGCATCACCCGCACTTTCATTGGGATTATCATCAATAACCATTTGAAGCACATGAACCACGGATGTAAACATGGAAATAATGCTAATCAAGGTACCATAGTGTGAGTTCCATCGTGTGTCACCGGCACGTTTGAGACTTGTTTCTTGATTTAAGCCTCGTCCCGTTATAAGACAATCATTTTCAAAAGCTATCACAAGCTCTTCTTGAAGTTATTGTCTAAGTAAATCACACCGCTTACAAGATGCTCTAACATGATTAACCACACTATTAGCCGTTGCAAAAAAAGAGGCAATGTCTATATTCTTCTTTGCTACGGAAACAATAGCTAGTTGAAGTTGAAGAGCAAAGCAATGAACATAATATGCACAAGGTTGTTCTCTCAATATCTTTGTTTTAAGACCATTCAACTCACCTCTCATATTGCTAGCACCATTATAACCTTATCCTCGTAGCTTGGAAATGCTCAAACCGTTGCAAGAAAAGAATGTGTCGATAGCATCCTTTAGTGAACTTGAAGTAGTCTCGGTAACATGTTGGATACTCACAAATCTTTCAATTACATGCCCGTTGTCATCCACATAACACAACACCATAGCCATTTGCTCTTTCACCGACACATCACGTGCTTCATCCACCAATATTGAAAAGAATCTATCTTTTAGACCATCCATGATAGCATCAAGTGTTTCAAGGGCACATGAATTCACAATTTCTTTTTGAATGGAAGGAGCTAGTAATTTGAGATTCCTCGGAGCATTTTCCATCACAACTTCTCTAACTTTATCATCATTATCTGCAATGAATTGCAATAGCTCCAAGTAATTTCCCATATTGCTTAAAGTGGCACTTTCATCATAGCCACGAAAAGCAAGACCTGTTGCAATAAAAACTTAGTGCACTTGATTGATGCATTCAAGCATGTGCGATAAGCCTTACGAGCTTGGTCAAAGTGTTTGCTCACTACCGTTTCAATATGTGTAGCTTGATTCATCAAATTTGTAGCAGCTTCTCTAGCATTATTATGAACACTCTAAACCGGTCTAACATGCATCTTAAATCTGTCTCTCCCTTTCTTCCAAGTCTTAAATCCATCTCTAGTAAAAGCTTCACTACCCACTTGTTCAAAATTGGTTTTAAAGAGATAGCAATAAAGACAAAATGCCGCATCTTTAGATATACTATACTCCAACCAATCAAACTCATCAAACCATTGGGGAATGAAGCGTCGATTAATTCCCGACATATTAGTTATTGGGAAATTATGACCTCTAGGTTGACAAGGTCCTTTTTGTATATATGATCTTCGGACCTCATCTCTCATATTAGCATCATAATCTATCATTTGAATTCTTAATCCAGGATCCGCTTGAAGATTACCCAAAACACCATCTAACTGACTTTGTCTTGAACTTGGAGTTCTTGAACTACCAACAGTATTTGAACTATCAACATTATTCGAACTACCCGAACCCGATGATGACTTTCTCTTAAAAAACCGTTCCATAATAATTCTACATATACAAAATATTCAAAATAAATACTCACAATATAAACAAACCATCAACATAATCAAAATAAATATGAATTGGATTTCAATTAAATTAAATATATTCTACATATACAAAATAATGAAAATAAAAACTCACAATATAAACAAACCATCAACATAATCAAAATAAATATGAATTGGATTTCAATTAAATTAAATATATTCTACATATACAAAATACTGAAAATAAAAACTCACAATATAAAAAAACCATCAATATAATCAAAATAAATATGAATTGGATTTCAATTAAATTAAATATATTCTACATATACAAAATAATGAAAATAAAAACTCACAATATAAACAAACCATCAATATAATCAAAATAAATATGAATTGAATTTCAATTAAATTAAATATATTCTACATATACAAAATAATGAAAATAAAAACTAATCAAACCACCAATATAATCAAAATAAATATGAATTAGGTTTCAATTAAATTAAATATATCATACATTATACATAGGGTTTAGAACTTACTTGAATTGTGAAATTTCACAATAACAATGTTAATGAGCAAATACAAAGAGAGTAGCTGGCGCGGCACCACCACCACAGCGACGACGACGGCAGCACAAAGGCACCTCAATGGCGACAGCAAGGGAGGAGATGGAGTTGAGGGTTTTGGGGGGGGGGGGGACTGAGTTTGGAACTTAGGGTTGGAGAAGGAGAAAACAAAAGAAAATTTGGGGTTTTGGAATGGGGGAGTTGGATCTGTGAAAAAAAGAAGGAGAGCTGTTTTTTTTTTTTTCTTTTCAAACCTGGCCCAAAACGACGTCGTTTTGGCCAGGTCATTTAAAAAAAATTGCCTGGGCCAAAACGACGTCGTTTTGCCCAGGTTGTTTTTTAAAAAAAAAGGCCCACGCGCGGCGCCTCCTTCTTCTTCAACCTGCAAGGCTGCCTTCTTCTTTCAAACATTCCGTCGAACACATGGTGTGCAGCTCCGAGGGGTCGCACCAGCAGCTCCAAGGGACCTCTAAGGTTATTT